TGGTTTCCCTGTTTTTTCTGTCTTCTCATCATTGCCCTTGGTATTGTTACTGTCCTTGTACTATGTGCAATTAAGTATTTTCTAGCTTGTAATAATAGCAATGGTGATATTTAGAATGGAAAGGTGAGAGGAGAGGGAAAGCAAAGAAGGTAAAGAAAAAGGGAAAAACAAATAAACCAGTAAAAACAAAACAAAACAAACAAACAAAAAACTGTGTCAAAGATATAAACAGGGAGAGATAGTATACTAGTCAACAGTAAACTAAACAGGCATTTGAGAGGCAGAGAGAGGATTAAAATTAAAAAAAAAATCTCCAAGTTCAAAGGCAATAAAGTTTCAGTCTTAATAATTTTGGTGTTAGTCCCTGAGCCTCCAATCCTGGAGATTGTGTCTCATAAGTAATTCTGTCATTATCTCATCAAAGGGAAAAAAACCCAAAAAAACCCAAAACATCACAAGGTGTCCCAAGTTCAAATGCAATACAGTTTCAGTAAGTTTTTCAGCATGCAGGTGTAATTCAGTGTTGTCTCATCAAAGGAAGGAAGAAAAAGAAAAAAAGAGACTCTGGAGACAGTTCTGTGAATGTCTATCTGAAGCTGTGTCTCACCTGCCCGCTGCTCTCAGCCAGCTGTTGCTGGAGGCTTTATTTATGCAGATCTCAGGAGTGAGCTTAACACTTACCTAGCCCCACAGGCTTTGTTTACTCAATGTTCTCCTGGACACAACTACCACTGTTACAAGCTTTCCCCTTTCCAAGCACACTGGGGTAGGTGGCGCTACACACGCCTTCTCCACCCAGCGTGTTTATTTACAGTTCACGTGGGAAATGGGTCTTCCCCCCTCTCCTGTGGAGTTTTCCTCCCACCACCACTTTTACAAGCTTTCCTGCTCCAAGGTTACTGGGCAGGTGCAGCCACTCCTGCCTTCTCCAGCCAGCTTGTTTATTTACAGTTCTGTGAGGCCCTCTCCCCGTCTTCAGCGCTCAGGGCACCCCACCCTCTTTGCTATGTGTCTTTTTGTTGTTGTTGTTTATTATTCAGTTTGGTTTTTTTTTCTCTTTTTTCCCTGGGTGGGGGTCGGTCTGTTCAGGGGGCTATGCTGATCTGGCCCAAGGTTGTCTGTGGGAGTACTGCATGCCGCTTAGCTCACCTTGTGGTCTGCATCTTCCCAAGCCATCTGGGAGCTGGCATCTGCTGGTGTGGGAGCCCTCCTGGTTTCTCCATTTAACATAGGGATGCTATGCATGGGCTGGAGGTGTGGAGGAGTCAAAGTTTTGCCTCTTCTCGGTGGTTTTTCCTGTAAGGTGTATCTCCAGCGTCTCTCCAAGATTTTACTTCAGGAAGCATGCTTTCTTCTTCCTCCCTGTAGTCACAATCTTCAAATCTTCTCTTGGTTTGTATTTTTAAGTTAAATTTATTTTTAACTGATACTTAAAACATAAAAATTACATATATTATCTTGTGATGTTTTGATACTTGTATATATTGTGTAATTTTTAAATCTGGTTAAATAATGTAGCTCCTCAAACATCTGTCATTGCTTTTTGATGAAAAATTTCAAAATCCTTTCTAGCTTTTTGAAATGTACAATATGTTGTTATTATCTGTGGTCACCCTACAGTGTGATAGCATATCAGAGCTTCTTTGTTCTGTTTAACTATAACTTAGTACCCATTGATCAAGTTTTCTTCATACCTCCTTACCCCAATCTTGGTAACCAATACTACTCTCAGCTTTTATGAGATCAACTTTTTTCACATTCCACATGTGAGTGAGGTATGTGGTACTTGTCTTTCTGTGCCTGGCTATTTCATTTAATACGGTGATCTCCAGTTCCTCCCATGTTATTGTAAATAACAGGATTTTATTTTTTACAGATGACAGTATTCCATATATACATGTGTATATATGTAGCATTTTCTATATCCATTCATCTGTTGATAGACACTTAAGTTGCTTGTTGTGAATAGTGTTGCAGTCAATATGGAGGTACAGATATTACTTTAATATACTGACTTTGTTTTTCCTTTGAATATATACCCAGCAGTAGGATTGCTAGATTGTATGGTATTTTTAACATTTTGAGGCACCTCCATACTATTTTCCACAGTGGCTGTGCTAATTTACATTATCACCAACAGTGTGTAAGAGGGGTGATTAAATTTTGATGGGGATTGTTTAAACTTGTAGATGAATTTTGGGAGAAATGACATGTCTACTATATTGTTTCAGTCCTTGATTATGGTACATACTTCATTTTATTTCATTATTGTTTGATTTCTTTCACCAGCACTTCAGAATTTTACGACACACATTCTGTACATGTTTAAAGTATTTAATACCTAATTGTTTAATTTTCTTTGGAGAAGTTATAAGTGGCATTTTAAATTTTTGGTTTCATCATTTTTATCGTTAGTATGTAGAAATGTGATTTATTTTTGTATGTTGATCTTACATTCTACAATCTCGCTGAACTCACTCAAAGAATTTTCAAAATAGGTTCCTTAGGATTTTCTATGTGTATGATTATATTATCCACAAATAGAGACAGTTCCATCTTTTTAACACTCTTTAAGTGTTTTCTTTTTCTTGACTTACTGCCTTTGCTAGAACTTCTACCACTATGTTGAGTAAGAGTGATAAGGATGGACATCCTTCCTTGTTTCCAGTCTTGAAAGGAAATCATTTAATCTTTTAGTGTTATATATAACATGTTAGCTCTAAGTTTTTTGTATATGATTACTCTCAAATTTGGATAATTCCCCTCTATTATTAGTTTGCTGGAGTTTATTGTGAGTAGATCTTGGATTTGGTCAAATGCTAGATGAGTTGATATCATAATTTTTCTTCACTTTTTAATATGTTGGATTCGAGTAGTTGATTTTGAATGTTGACCATTCTTGTATATCTGGAATAAATTCCATTTGATCTTGGTTGTTCAGTAAGTCATGATAAGTTAAGCTTAAACAATGTCACTATCAATCAAGAGATACTTAATTGTTCTGAAAATTAAAGAACTGCCCTAAGAGTACTTAGTATTAATCTAGTATTTAGAGAAAATTATCTATGGCACATACTTTTCACTGACAAAATATTTTTGGTTTCATATGTTTCTTGGTCACTTTCATAATACTAACAGAATAATAATAACCACCATTTATTGAGTAACACACCTACTAGAAAATATATTTACTTTACCTATGTTACTTTACTACATCCTTATTTTTTTACCATTTGTTGTTTTACTCTTCCCTCTAAACAAATTAAGGCTTTGTTAAATAACTTGCCCTTAGCTAGTAGATGTCAAATCTAAGGCTCACCTCAAGGCTGTTTGGCTATAAGTTTATGTCCTACTTTACGGCATGGTTCTACAATGTCTATTCACTGCTTCTTTTTTCCCATTCCTGTTTTTCCAGAGGAAATTTGTCTTTTCCCCTATAAATTTTCGATCTCATTACGTTTTCCTCCTTCTACAGATCAAAAGTATACTATTACTTTTAGCAACATATTTTAGCAGCACAGCTATCATAAAAGAATTTGTGAGTTACAAATTTTTAGAGTAGGATACCTATGTAGATATGTAGACACTTCCCAACCTATTATTGTGGGAAAATATTTCTGCTTCAATATTATTAGCATAAACAATCATTTTTCTGCTAGGTTCCTATTTCTTTTTTTAAATTTATGGTAATTAATGGTGAGCTGTTTCCTGATATTCTTAATTCATCCCTTTATTATGTCTCTCTTAATTTGTGTGACAGAGGTAATAAATAATTGTGTTATGGATTTTCAGCAGTCAGGGAAATGCATGTAAATGAAACAAACTTTCTCTGACAAGCTGATGAATACCATAGTGTTTGTGATTATTAAAATTTATTGCTGGTATAATGTATTTGGCAACTTAAGTACTCGAAAAAACTCAGATGCACAAGGAGGCATGTGCAAGATTGTTTATTGCAGCTTTTTTATATAATTGCAGAAAGAAATAACATGTTCATCAATAGGAAATGAATTATTGTGGATATATACAAAGGAATACAAAAAATTAATAAACTAGAATTAACAAATTCTCATAGTAGATGTCCAGTGGAAAGTAAGTTATGAAAGTACAATACAGTAAATAAAACTTGAAAATTGGATTTGAGTCATGTAGTAATGCATACATATGTAGAAGAAATTTAAAGTAGAAGTGTAAAGGTATGTGTGGCTGTTTTATGTGAAGGATAGAGTCCAATTAGAAGAGAAGACAAGGACTTCAGCTCTAAAACTATATTTCTTAATGTGCAAAGTAATCATAGTCAACGTAGTCTCTGCTGTCTTTTTGTATAGTAAGAAGTATTTCATAATAAAAGCAACAGAAGAGAAAAATGGGAGGAGCTGTTGGTAGCCTAGGTCCCACCCAGCAGGAGAATGAAGTGCATGGGCTACCAATCTCTTCTGTTAACTAAAGCACATTTCAAGTTCAAATTTACCCTGATGTTGTGCATTTTTATCTGTAAGATCTGCTAACTCTAAATAACTAAATTTACCTTACCAGAAACACAAGTAAGTAAACACATGAGAAGTGAAAGACTATGCTTTCAAGGAGAGTTGTTTCTCAGGGCGTAGATGTGCCTTCTGATTTTTCTTTTTCATCTAATCAAGGTAGCTGACTTTTATCTTACACTAATCTTCACTGGTTAATCTTCACTTGATTGGTTGGAAAAAACTCATGCAAGGCATACATCTGCCTTTTTGATTTGTGTCTGTGGTTGTGATTAGTGTTCTTACTTTCATTTTCTCCTCTTTGTCCTACTCCTTTTCAAATATTTTTCTTTTGAAGAGCAAGTAAATATGATATAAGCGGGAAGTAGTGGTAAACCAGCAAAAGTTTTTTATGCTCCACATTTAGAGTTAATGTGACGTATGAATTGAAATACTATGTTTTAATAGAGGTAAATTTGAGCCTATCTTTCCCAAAGCTTTAATATTTAAAATCTGTAAGAATAACTTGTACAAATTATGAAGTTTTGTTAAGTAATAGCTCCAAAATGCCCAGGTAAATAACTGTTTTTCTCTGATCCATGTTTCCTTAGATGCTTGCTTTAAATCGAGTGACAGCATCACATCCATTTATGACTTCAGCAGATCTGATGGAAGCAAACCAACTGTGTAGCATGGATTCTAAAGCAAATATTGTACATGGTGAGAAACCTGCTTTATTAGTCTTTTTTTAAAAGTTTGAATTTAGGAATGGCTTTCAAAATTATAATTAACATTGGGCATGGTGCTTTATCTATAGAATAAAATGTGTTTTTATGCAGACAGCCTTACTCAGTCCTTTACCACTTTCATTTAAAGTGAAAGAAGTTTGACACTCTACTTCCCATGCCACTTTGGAGATCCAGGCAAGATTGTCTTGCTGATGCTGTCATTGTACCAAGTGCTGCTGAAGGACACTCAACAGTATTTAGTCATCTTGGACTCACCATTCCTTTTGAGAATCCAATAAGCTTTTTTCTTTTTAAGAAAAAAAAATGTACCCACAGTTTTGATATAATTTCCAAGGTTTTAGGGGTTCTCTGAATAAATCCCACCCAACAATCCTATGTGACTTGAAATTCCATAATAATCGCAGTTTCTATTTATTGTTTACTTAGGGCTGTATAGTGAATGCTCAGTACTATTTCTAATCTATATAACATCTCCACAAGTTTAAAAAGATCCTTGTTTTGCAGTTATAAAAAACTAAACTCAGGGAAGTTAAGTGACTTACCTGTTTGTAAAGTTAATAATGATTAAAACACATTTGAATAATGAGGAGGTTTGACCTTCTACACCCCTTAGAACCATGATTTTTAATTATATTTACTCTTTGGAGTACAATTATTTCAGTCTTATGTATGATTGAACAGCAACACAGTTTATTTCCATCTTACTGTAGGTCTATCAGTCTTGGAAATCTGTCTTATAATAGCAATGAAACATTTAAATGATATTTATGAAGAGGAGCCCTTTAATTTTCAAATGGTCTATAACGGTAAGATGAGAATTTGGTAATTTCTTCCTGACTCTCCCTTGCTACTTACTAGTGGAAACTAATGTTGTCCTTACTTACTCTCCAGAGTTTCAGAAATTTGTTCAAAGAAAGGCCCATTCTGTTTATAATTTTGAGAAACCTGTTGTCATGAAGGTAAGATTTGGTTACTATTATTTTTCATCAGAAAAGCATATTTTAGATACAATGTGATTACATAGATAAAGGTTGCACTTTCATTAATTTTCTTAACCTCAGGTATTTACCATAGGAATTTTTTCCAGACCAAAAACTAAAAATGAAATGCGTAATTGTGAAGGCAGCCAGTTTCACAGCTTATGGGCTTATACTGCCCTCTGCTGTCTGTTGTTAGAACTTGCATTCTACAAAGGAACTGCTCATCATAGTCTGCCATTCACAGGGAATACAATCACCCTGTCCCTTTCTAACCCAATAGTTGGCTTTATAGTCTCAGCAGTAAAAGAAGACAAAAATGCAGATCAGAGCCATTAAGAAACATAATGGACAAAATCTCATTGGCTGGTGAGAACATAGAAAAAGTTTTATTTGAGGGAGACATGTATTTAAAACTTGAGGGCTTTATTTTAGGGTACCATTGTCCACTATAAAGAAAACATGAACCACATTGTGTAGTTTTAGATTTTTCTAGTAGCCACAGAAAGTTTTTAAAAGTAGAATAATTATAATAATGTATTTAATTCAGTATACCAAAAATACTTCAGAATCTGTAATCAAATAGGAACTTACTAATTAAGTGTTTTCCTTTGTTTCTTTTATATTACATCTTTTAAATTTGATGTGTGGTATCACATAGTTAAAGTACATCCCAGTTTACTAAATAATCATTAGAAAGTCATCAAATTTGTAGCTGGAAAGAGATTTATTACATTTTGAGACTGTTCCAAACAGATTTCTAACTTAAGCAAGTATTAGTTTTTTAAGTTTAAATTTAATGAAAAATTAAACTAAAAATTAGGTCACACATTTCAAGTGCTTCATTGCCCATGGTGGACAGTACAGCTCTAGAGGAATTTATGGGAATAAACTTTTCTTTTTTAAGCAGTGGACCCCTAAATTCTTTTGGCAGTCCTGATAGGCCCTAGCAGTCAGTTTTATTTCTTGTAGCAGTTCTAAAAAGTGAGTGCAGAGTGTTGTCATTTCTTCAAAGAAGCAGGAAATTATTTAGCATACTGACAGTTGTATTTTTTTTTCCCTTAACTCCATATCTGGCTGTGATCATCATGGTTTGTGAGAGTCATGAAAGTGGATAGAGAACCTGAGCATTTAAGTTCTTAAGAATAATTTGCAGCTGCTCATTTGTATATTTTAAATAAGGATGTATTTTGCTGCCTAGAAATATTTTAAATCTCAGTTTTTTTAAATCCCAGTGCATGTGGCTGCCAGTATTGAATTATTAGAAATGAATAGTCTTTTCATTAGAAGAATTTTTGTGATAGAGAATGCATTCCAGTGCTTTTTTTACAATGATATATAAGTCTAAATGGAAACTGTTTCTTTATCACTGTTTAATGGCTAGTGTGTCATAATTCAATGATGTGTTTTTTCACACTTAATAACATACGTAAAATAATTACCAAGGTTATAAAAGACAATAATGTATGAAGAGTAAAGGTAGAGGAAACTGTTAAGTGGGTAAGATGAACATAGAAAACTTGTTGACAATTGTGACAGTCTTATTAAGAACTTAGTACCTGTTCCCTTTTCCACACCATCCTGCAAAGTCATTTACTTACAGGAGCAGCTAAATCGGCTTTGTATATTCAGGGTCTTTCCTGCCTCCTTTGTTGCAGCTGTGTTAAAACTTTACACAGCAAAGTCTTAATAGAAACAGAAATACATTGCAAATGCAAATTTGAATAACCTAGCTAATCAGAAAGGCTCATCAGATTCTTAGGTTGTTAGAGAGAAAAGAACTTTGTTAATTAAAATACTGTATTAATTGAAGAAAGAGAAATAGAGAAAGAGCTGGGGTTGGAGCCTCGTGTTAGAGTAAGTGCTTAGTATGAGCAAGACCTGGGATCAGTCTCCAACACCAAAAAATAATAACAATAATAATAACTGGAAGAACTTTGATATGGAATGAGGTTAGAAACAAAACCATATTGTGAAAATTCCATTAAAATTTGCCTTGTTTACATTCAATAGTATGGGGACAAATAACTGTTCTTGACACTATTTTACCTGACAATGCAAAGTTTTTATGGGTTCGTGAGAGTTGGAGCTTTTGGGAGGAGGGGATGTTTGGTTGTTTATTTGTGGTCATAAGGATCAAATCCAGGGCCTTGCACCTACTAGGCAAGTGCCTTACTACTGAGCTACAGCTCTAGTTCTGTGAGTTGTTTTTTGTTTTTCTTTTCAGCAATAGTGGGATTTGAACTCAGTGCTTTGCACTTGCTAGGCAAGCACTCTGTTTGAGCCACACCTCCACCCCTTTTGCTCTGGTTACTTTGGAGATAGGGTCTCACTTTTTGCCTAGGCTGGCCTGGACCATGATCACCCTATTTTAGGCTGGGATGACAGGTGAATGCCATCACGCCCAGCTTTTTTCTGTTGAGATGGGCACTCACAAACTTTTTTTTTTTTTTTTCTGGTAGTACTGGGATGTGAACTTAGGGTCTCACACTTGTGAGGCAGGCACTCTACCACTTGAACCACTACATCATCTCACAAACTTTTTTGCCCTGGCTGGTCTGGAGCCGAGATTCTCCTGTTCTCCATCTCCTACCTATGTAGGATAACAGGCACATACCACTGCACCCAGCTACTGGTTGAGATGGGGGGGTCTTGTGAACTTTTACCTGGGCTGGCCTCGAACTAAGATCCTCCCAATCTCAGCCTCCCAAGTAGCGAGGACGGCGGTCATGAGCCACTGGCGCTCAGCCTCAGAAGGTTGTTTAACTGTTAATTTCTTTTTTTCTGTTCCACAATTGATCAAAACCCTAACCATTCCCTGGGTTAACTTTTGTTAACTTCTGTTAACTTTCTTCCCCTAGTCATCCTAAACTATTTTTTTTCATCTTTCAGGCTTTTGAACACTTACAACAATTAGAATTAATAAAGCCAATGGAAAGAACTTCTGTAAATTCACAGAGAGAGTACCAGCTGATGAAACTACTTTTGGATAATACTCAAATTATGAATGCTCTACAGAAGTACCCCAACTGTCCTACAGATGTCAGGCAGTGGGCAACATCGTCACTGAGCTGGTTATGAATGTAATCAGTGATTTCACTCTTGGCATTTCAAGCATATTTCTCTAAAGAACTATAAGCTACTGCCCTTTGACAAGATATGTTATTACATTCCTTTATATTTATAAACATTTTTGTATTTATGAGAAACTTGCACATGTAGTATCTTCACTGTGCCTTGATAGAGCATTTAAGTGATTTGTAATTCCAGTGATTGATTTAGATTGTTCTGTAAGTAGCAGTTGAAAACAATAAAGTGTGACTGTTCTAGGGATTAGACCATATAATAAATATACTTATTTATACTTGTGAAGTATTTATGTGGTCCATTTGAAGAGGTCATTTCAACGAAGCACCCAGGTATTTTTCCAAACCTTAAATGTAAACAGTTCAAAAACAATGGTAAGAATTGAGATATAATAAGTACTCTTTGGTTCCAGTAGGGGTGCTATGTTTGATTTGTTGGGTTTTTCCCCTGTACACATGAAAATTTTGGATTCTACTGCAGATAACCAGGTTTCTACTTCAGAAGACTGACCAGTTTAGCCAGAGGGTGATTCATATGGAAGAAGTCAGGAAACTTGAATTGTCTTTCAGATTTCTCAAAATGTGGTACTCATACCACCTACATCAGAATCTCCTGTAGGATTTCTTAAAAAAATAAGATTCTAGGAACTACTCTAGAATCCAAATTTGTCTTTTTAACATGCGCCTTCCCACAAATAATGGTAACTCTTTGGCAATGTTTGTTTTAAAAAGTAATTCCCTATGAAAAATATGGAATGTCAGTCAGAGCACCTACTTACAAATCAGGGATCAACAGCAGTACCACTCTTGGGGATTTACCCAAAAGACTGTGACACAGGTTACTCCAGAGGCACCTGCACACCCATGTTTATTGCGGCACTATTCACAATAGCCAAGTTATGGAAACAGCCAAGATGCCCCACCACTGACGAATGGATTAAGAAAATGTGGTATCTATACACAATGGAATTTTATGCAGCCATGAAGAAAAACGAAATGTTATCATTCGCTGGTAAATGGATGGAATTGGAGAACATCATTCTGAGTGAGGTTAGCCTGGCCCAAAAGACCAAAAATCGTATGTTCTCCCTCATATGTGGACATGAGATCAAGGGAAAACACAACAATGGGATTGGACTTTGAGCACATGATAAAAGCGAGAGCACACAAGGGAGGGGTGAGGATAGGTAAGACACCTAAAAAATTAGCTAGCATTTGTTGCCCTTAACGCAGAGAAACTGAAGCAGATACCTTAAAAGCAACTGAGGCCAATAGGAAAAGGGGACCAGGAACTAGAGAAAAGTTTAGATCAAAAAGAATTAACCTAGAAGGTAACACACACACACAGGAAATTAATGTGAGTCAACTCCCTATATAGCTATCCTTATCTCAACCAGCAAAAACCCTTGTTCCTTCCTATTATGGCTTATACTCTCTCTACAACAAAATTAGAGATAAGGGCAAAATAGTTTCTGCCTGGTAGTGAGGGGGTATGGGGGGAGAGGGATGGAGTGGGGTGGCTAAGGGAGGGGATGGGGGGAAGGGGGGAGAAATGACCCAAACATTGTATGTACACATGAATTTAAAAAAAAAAAGATAAAAATCAGGGATCAATAACACAGGTTATATTTAAAATGAAATTTAGTAAGATTCATTAAGTACTAGTAACTTCGTTTGTTCAAGAGTATTTGCATATTATGTCACAGGGTATACAAAACACAAGAGTCCCCTATCCTTGTGCAATTTATAATCCATTTAATGGGCTGGGGATGTTGCTCAGTGGCCCTTGGTTCCCAGCACTGCCCAAAAGAAAAAGGAAAAAAAAAAAAATGTGTGTGTATATAAAAGCCATTTAACTGTCAGAAGTCCTATGAGGCTTAGTACTATTATTTATAGATTAGAAAACACACAATAATGGCAGTGTACAAAATGACAGGTTGGGAATGGCTGACAGACCCCTGGAATTCAACTCAGGTTTGATAACAAAGTCCATGCTACTAAGAACTAAAGATCAACAATGGGTTCCTTACCAAAGTTTGCTGTAACAAATAATTTGGCTTTTAAGAAATCTTTGCTATGAAGTAGAATATAAGATTTTTGTGCATAAAAGGAACACTTCTTTAGATATAACCTATTCTGTAGTTTTTCCTTCCCCACAAAAAGTTTTCAGCCTTTTAAGTCTTCAGATCACTGTGCTTTATTTTTCAGCAATGTCTCATTAAGGCAAAGGCTTGTATACTGGTTCTATGTCATAGTCCATACATTTGTAGTTGCTATTTTGCCAGAGTACTTTCTTTTAGAAGGAGAATTTTACACACTAAGCTGTAGTTTTTCTTTTTAAAAAATTCTTTTCTATGTGTTAGGAAAGTACCATCTGCCTTACAAGATAAGACCCTAATGAAATGATTTGAGTGTTGCAAATTTTTATTAGGTTGAAATGCTACTTAAAAGCTGAGCGCCCTTGTGTGTTTCCCTGGCTACATAAGAACTACAGAAGACCATCAAGAACCAGGTATACAGATTAAAAATCCCAGAGTCCAGGTGAGTTTTCATTTTCAGTGACTGTGGTAAATACAAAATAAGTTAGAAAAAAAGTAAGTTAGCAAAAGTAATACAAGTGAAGTGTATGCTTGTACCACAAAGGCATTTTTGTAGAAGTGAGGTGTGATACCCCTTCCTATTCATACATATTTCATATTCATGGTTCATAAAAGAAGCTGAAATGTACTTGCAAAATTTTTGAATATACTTCAGTTCACAAATTGATTAAACTGTGTTAGTAAAATAAAAACTAAATCTGAAAAGCCCTACTTAAAAAAAAAATGAAAGAATAATGTAAACTTAAGCATGGCTTAATTTTCTTCACTCACTAGAGGAAATGTAGCCAAACACTCACAAGCTCCAGGTCATCAGACTGAAAATCAAATGACAAGTAACAACTTCAATTCAGTTTTTACTCACATCCCCTCCCTGGCCTACCAAACACAGAATCCTGTTAAAAAGACCTCTCGGATTCACACGTATGTGCATGGCTTGGAGAAAAATCTGTTGGCCAAACTTACGTATGACAATGCTTTGTATGTTGAAAACATAGTATCTATTATTAGCTTCCTAAAGAACCAATGCTTTGCAGAACACGCTATGGAAAATGATTCTCTCCTTCTGCAGAGATCTCCTACTCATTCCAGTATGATTTGCATTTTCATTTGATTTAGAAAGCATGGCAGGTTCTTTCAAAGCATGTTAACCTAAGTGCTGTCCTTTCCTTTGTCTTTATTTTGAAAAAACAGAATCCGTTAGCATGCATATGACAATGCTAACAAACCTCTGGATTCCACATATATAATCTGCTTAGATGACAAAGGAAGTCAGTGCCACAATTGACAAATGTCCCTGCTTTCACCACTGCCCCCACTCTTGCATATCTCAAGGTGGAAGCCTCATTATACGTTACAAAGCTACTACTCCCCTCTTTAAGAACATACAGCTAAAGAAAAACTGCATATGCAAATCATATCATATTCATTTTTTATTTAAGCTGGGGATGGAATGGGGATAGCATACATTTTATTTGTACAATATTTAACAATCACTTATTCAAGGTGGGTTTGGGGGGATTTTTTTTTAGCTTTCTGTTAAATACTTGCAGAAAAAAATAGCAAGTACAATTTGACAGTAGTACAACAACCTGTGCCGAAAACACTGACAAGAAATACAGAGTAAAGCTAAAATAATTGCTTACCTATATTTTGAGAGGTAACAAATAGGATATGGGTTGAGACTGCATAAAAAACGTACTGCTGGTTGAATATCTGAGGTAAATGATGTTCAATCAAGATGCTACTTGTATCATTTTGCCCATAAATTGTAAATAATTTTATGCACATTATACCAAATGTTCCTAAAAAGTAATTTTTCAAAAAAGTAAAAAAGAGAAACTGGAAAATATCTGTGATGAAGCATTTTTTTAAAAAACAGTAATCAGTTTATTCCACTAAACTACCATCTGGCCAGGGGGTTTTCTCAACCACCTGCATTTTCCTTAAACGTGGCTGTTATTCAGGGCTGAGGAAAGGAGGCAGAAATTTTTTTAATTTTGTGACGTTTGATTCCATTTTTAAATTCCAAAGGTGTTGGATGTTTTTCCTGATTATATTTTCAAAACGTCACCATGAAAGTTAGTGCATGGTCATGGGACCAGTAATTGTTAGGCACAGTCTCTGTTCTGGATTTCACAAGGTACCTGTAATAAACATTGGAACAAGAATCACACATCACATGCTAAAAACTTCCTAGCATCTAAGTACATACAAGATCTGTGCAGGGCATGGACTTGAATAAAGCCAAACACTGGTTAACCATCAATCCTATGGCAGTTGATCATAAAGCATTTCTTACATGGGACATGGGGCAAGATAAAGACTGTAAGTTAGAGCAGCAGTTCTGATGCGTTACCAGAAAGGTGAAGTATAGGACAAATCATGAGGAGCACCATACACATGAGGAGAAGAAGTCATTGGGGTCTCGGTTTGCCCCCAAATAAATCACCATTTTTCTCATTCCTTGATCTTTCTTTTATCCAGTACCCTAGCTCAAAGTTTTTGTTAACTTGCCCACTCTGCACTGACTGTAAACTAAATACTAAAATGCCCTGCAAAAGAAAGTTTTAACAAGACTAGGTATAAGGACAGGTAGTCACTGGAACACTCTTATTTTACTGCTTACAAAAAGTTTTTCTATTAATGTAGTTCTCAAAATGATAAAATTGGTTAGCTAGAATTAAGTATAATACCCAAGAATTCTAAAAATTTTTCCTAACATGAAACATCTTATATTGTAAATACTGGTCTTAAAATTTGTATGTAGTGTTCTCCTAAGCCACACATTCATCATAGTATCCCTTATTTTTGTTTAAATTTCTTTAACTTAAAAAGAAAATTGTTTGCAACAGATAGAAATTTACCTTTAGGAGATCAACAATTTTCGTATGCATGTTATCTATTGTTCTCTTGATTAGTTTCCAAGTGGAAACAAACCCATAAAGAATTTGAGAGGCCAAGTACTTTTTAAACTAAAAATGGTAAACATTAAAATTAGAAATCTTAAGAATACAATGAGACCTTGGACACATATTACATGAAGAACACAAACAAGTATGGTGTGTGGCACACAGATGAGAATGGTATTCTTTCTTTCCCTCCCTGCTTAGAGCCTGTTGACCTATCTATTGTTTATAAATAATATAAT